GGTGGGTGCCGCTCAGCGCGGCCTGGCTCCGAGCCCAGGACAGAGGCTTCCCCTCCCGCCCCCGGGGCACAGTGCCCGCTCGGCTCTGCAGGAAGCCCGCCGGCTCTCCGAGCCTCTGTGTCCCACCGCAGTGGGGCAGTGGCCGGCTGAGGGGAGAGGGTGCGGGGCCCAGTGGTGGTGGCCCCAGTTCCTGCACTTGGCCCTCAGTGACCCCTCCAGGGGTCCTTTGGGAGGAGGGGTGCATGAAGCAGGGCTCAGGGGTTAGAAAGCCCTGCCTGCGTGGGGCCTGGGGTCCCCTCCAGTGCCATGGCCCTGACGGGGGGCCCGGCACGGCCCCACCGTTCCTTTCTGGCCACGTTGAGATTGCCGAGGTCCCGGGGTCAGTGCCTGGCCGCCTGCTCGGCGGTGGAGCAGCATCACCGGGTGTGGGCTGGCAGTGCCGAGAGGCCCTGAGACCCCGTGTGCTCCAGACCCCAAGGTGCTGCCACGGGCCCGGCGCGTCCTGGGCTTCTCGCCGCTCATCGTGGACAGACACGTCAGCCGCTTCCTGCTGGCCTTCCTGGCGGCCGAGCTGGGGGGCCTCTGACGACCAGCCCCCCTCCGCCCACCGCGCACCAAAGAGCCCGCCTCCCCCGCCGGGGCCTCCTCTTGCCTACAGGCTTGGATCTCGAAGGCACGTCCTCATCTTGCCAAGCTGCTCAGTGAATTAAACGGGAGTCTCCTCCCTTCTCAGTGCTTTTGGGTGATCCTGACCTCAGACTCCACACACCTCAGGCAGAGGCTGACCCTGAGGCTCAGGCCGCACTCCCCACCATAGGGCCCCTGCTCTGCCCGACCCAGACATCCCCCCCACTGCCCTGCCATGTCCCCCGCCCTCCACGGCCTCCTTCCACTGCTCTCCTGAGCTCCCACCTCCCACACCCACCGCCTCTCACCTCCGCTCCGCCGCCCCAGGCCCAGCCCGCCCCAGGCCCGTGGCGGGGAGGCGGGGGGGGGGGGGGGCACTCACCACGAGCCTCTGCACCAAGCCTGGGCTGTGGGCCCTGCCTGCCTGTGCCGCCCGGTGAGGGGTGAGGCCGAGGTGGAGGCTGGTCAGCCGAGAAAGAGGACCCTGCACGGGGCGTGCAGGCTGAGCCACATTTCCTCCCCCCGTGGCCGGTCCCCAGGAGACCCGCTTCCAGGGCCTGCTGGCCCCACAGGCACCCGTGGGACAGCGCCCTTCACCCCCACCCACACGGGAGGGGATGGCAGGTAGCAGTGGTTCAGAGCCTGGAAACAGACACCAAGTCTTGTCCGGGATCCCAGGAGAAAGGGAATCCAGACTGAAAAGAGCCCAAGGAACATTCTAGAAGTTTTAGAGATGAAAAACATCATTGTGCTTTCCCAAGTCCTGAGCTCTGGCTCCTTAAGCCCTCGATCAGCTGCTGGGGTTTGGCACTGCTGTTCCTCTTCCTCCTCAGTGCATGGCCCCTGCCCAGGTGCTGCCCCCACCCCCCATCTCCTCTGGCTCACGCTGTGGGAGTAGCTCATGCATGAGGGTGAGCATCACGTGTGGGGCCCGGCACTGCTCCCGGGACTCACTGCTCCGGCTCTGCTGCAGACACGCCGGCTCCCCACGGGCCTGATGGGCACCACCCTCCCCTTGTTGGGCCTGTCGCCACCCTCTGACAGGTGGGGGATCCGAGGCTTGGAGCCCAGGACCACACAGAAGCCGAGCGTGGGGCTCCACCGCCCGCCCCACAGGTGCACAGGCACAGGCAGTCATGCCTGCACGCACACACATGCACATGCACAGCTCTTCTGTACACGGCACACGCATGGAGAGCAGGCTGTGGGCCTCGGCCTGGCCCGGTGGGTCCTCTTGTGATTGTCTCCCTCTGCCAGCCCCCCCCCCCCTTTTGGGGAAACAGAAGCATATTTGTCAACCCAGGAATCATGAGTTTGTGTTTTCCACGGAGGTTTCCGGAGGCACGAGGCACAGAGGAACCAGCTCCAGGACATGGGGCCTGCCCTTGGGGAAGTGGGTGCAGGAGCCTTCCCCGTGCCAGGCAGCCAGGACGGTGGCTGGCCACTCGCTCCACCACTCGGGGCTGCAGGCTGGGGCATCTGCGCGTGGGCACCTAGCTGGGCGCTGCTCCTCGGGCACACTGGGTAGCACTGCCCAGCAAAGCTGTCCCTGCGCGTCGCCCCACCCGCTGACCGCCTTGCTGGGCACGTGGCCCAGGCAGGTTTCTGGGGCAGCAAGAGCAGTTACTGCCCCCAGTGGGCAGGTGAGCGAGGGGACGCCTCTGGGCCTGGCTCAGGGTCGGGGGTGAAGGCTGTGGTGAGCCTGCCGCCCCCTCCCCAGTGGGAGAATGTGTGGCGCTCCAGCCCCATGTGAGCCATCGCCCCAGCGGCCCTGAGGCCCTGAGGCGAGACGGGACTAGTGCCTGTGCCACTTCCAGGGTGAGCTCGGTGGGGGCTGGGCAGGTCCTCAGGCCAGCAGACCCCTGCACTCAGCCTGGCACGGCCTGTCCATCTGCAGCTTCTCCCACCATGGCCGGGCAAGGTCCTGGTTCCTGGGTGAAGGTCTGCTTGCAGAAGCTGGGGGTGTTCTCCATGCTTGTCCTGCGCCCTGAGACACAGCTGGGAAAGGTGACAGGCAGCGCTGGGTGAATGTGACAAGGATGCTATGTCCACGTGAAGGTGACTGACAGAGATGCCAGGGGGCAGGGGGCAGAGGCCCCGGGGGGCAGGGGCAGACACCTGTCTGCAGGTTGCAGACTGAGAAATGAGCAGCCCAAGCTGTGGACTCCATCACAGCAGCCTGAACAGACTGAGGCAGGTCCGACAGACAAGGGGCCCAGCTGCCCTCACCTCAGGCCCACGAAGCCCACGGCTCCCTCCCGCGTGAGGCGAGCTCAGGGCTGTCCCAGGGCCTCGGACGCCCAGGAGCTGTGAGGCCAGGGTGCTTGTCTCTGGCTGCGGCTGGGCCACTTCCTGTGACTCCTGACGTTTTCTTTTATCCACGACCCCCAAGTCCTGCCCTCGAGGCCCCAAGCCCGCCCTTGAGCCCAGGCCGCCTTGGAGCTTCCTCAGGTCTCCGCCCCACGCCCTTCCCAGCGGTGCCTGGACTCTGCCTGGAGCTGGGGGAGCCGGCAAGGCCTCCCCTGGGCTGGGCCTCGGGGAGAGAAGCGAGCAGCCCCTGTCAGTCGGTGCTCGTGACCCGGGGTGAGTGAAGCCCATCGGCACCAACACCACAGGCACAGCCTCTCCTGGTGACCCGCCCGCAGGACCTCACTGCCTGTCCCCAGCTTCCCACTGCCACACGCTGGTGAGGACGGGCTCTGGTGACGGACAGGCTCATGACCGCGCCTCCGCACCTGTGCAGTGCTGCTCCCTTGCCTGGAGCACTCCTTCCTGCTCCCCAGCGCCTCCTACTCCCGCTCAGGCCCCAGGCAAAGTGCCACCTCCTCCAGGAAGCCCTGCCCAACAGCCCATGTGCCGCATGGCGTTCGCTGCACATCAGACCACACGTGCAACAGGGCCATAGGTCTGACTGGAGCCTCGGATCCCTCTCACCCAGCGCCTCCGGCTGGGACGCGTAGGCAGGCATCCCTCACGGGCTCGTGGCGAGGCTGCTGACAAGCCCGCCGACCACCAGTCATAGAACAAGCGCAGCACGTGCAAGTGTGCACAGGACACAGTCTCTGATAGTCACATCGCTGTTACTGTTCATATGTTTACTATTTATACTTGTTATGGGGGAGTATACTCTTCCTACTTATAAAAGAAAAAGTTTGCTGTAAAACAATATGCCAAGCTAAGCTGGCAGCAGCCTCATGCATCTCTTTACTGCATCTCTTCTTTTTTAAAAAATATTTTATTGATTTTTTACAGAAAGGAAGGGAGAGGGATAGAGAGTTAGAAACATCGATGAGAGAGAAACATCGATCAGCTGCCTCCTGCACACCCCTTACTGAGGATGTGCCCACAACCAAGTACATGCCCTTGACCGGAATCGAACCTGGGACCCTTGAGTCCGCAGGCTGATGCTCTATCCACTGAGCCAAACTGGTTAGGGCTACCGCGTCTCTTGAGCAAATCATTTTCTCTGGCGCTCGATTTATTCTTGTTGTTTTGTTCACTGTGGCCGCTCAGCAAACAAGTCCACCGCCGATGCCAGTGAGAGACACACTGAGTGACGCCCGGGGAGGAAGGTAGAGATGACGAACAAGGTTGCAGAGGTCGAGAGCCAGGCCACTGCTCGCCAGGCGGGCATCACCTCAGCCGCGACCTTGAACAAGAGCAGAGAGAGAGAGCTGTTGAAGCATCTGCTCCCCCCATGCCTCGGGACCCACGGATCCAGCAGCTTCTCTCCTCCCTGGAGCAGCGCCCGGGCCTGGAGGGAAGGCCGGTCACAGCGGGTCCCGGGCACCAAGGTCACGGCCACCGGACACGTTCGCTGGTTTAGAGAACGGCCAGGCCTGGCGGAGGCTGAGGCTGCTGGCTCTGGGCGGTGGGAGCAACTCAGCGCCCGGCATTCACTCCCCAGTGAGCGTGAGCGCGGCTGCGAGTGCTGCTGGGGGGCGGGCGGGCGGGAAGCTCCAGAGAAGCTGATGGTAAAGAAAACGAGGCCGGGACTCTTCCTGTGGATGGAGCCGCCCTTCCTGGGGCGCCGGGAGGCCCTGGTCCACAGGGAGGCCGCAGGCCGGTCCCGCTTCTAGGAGCGAGAACAGCCTTGCCCGGGGCCAGGGCAGGGCCCCAGTGGAGACCCTGTGTCTGGCACCGTGAGACCCCTGGACCTGCCGAGCAGTGAGCATCCTGGGCGCCGGCTCCTCTCCCAGATGCCGCCTCACTGCCGGGCGGCGAGACGGGGAAGGGCTGCGTGGGGAACAACACACTTGCAGGATGTGCCTCCTGTGGACAGGTGCCCTTTGTGGGTGCTCTTCACCCCGATCTCCAAGGGGTGTGCATCCTTTCAACCCCCTCTCTCGCCAGGAACCGCGGGGGGTGCAGCCTTAGGCGTGTCCTGAGGCCGCCCTGTGCCTGGCTGCTGCGCAGCTGAGGGAGGACGGGTGCCACTCCAGGGTGACGGCGTCCATGCTGCACCCAGAGCCTCGATGACTGTCACTCAGGAGGAGACACTCGAGAGGTTCGTCCATGACGTCAAAGGCCTTGCCAAGCACGAGGAGCTGCCAGCGCAGCAGCTGCGGCTGAGAGGCCCAGGGCTCCCTGGGCGTGGAGGGGCCTGCGGAGCTCCTAGCGGTGGGTGCTGAGGAGCTGAGAGGCCCAGGGCTCCCTGGGCGAGGAGGGGCCTGCGGAGCTCCTGGTGGTGGGTGCTGAGGAGCTGGGAGGCCCAGGGCTCACTGGGCGTGGAGGGGCCTGTGGAGCTCCTAGCGGTAGGCCCTGAGGAGCTGCCGAGGGAGGAGCTGTTGGACCTGGAGCAGGAACGCGGAGCTGAGAAGAGCCAGAGAAACGGAAGCTGCAGGGGAGGGAAAAGAAGAAAACCCCCAAGAAGACGCGCAGTGAAGAGCTCAGCGGACGCTGTTGCAGAGCTCAGCGAGCTCCTGGAAAAGTCTGGAAGCACCTGGCAGGAGAGGGCGGGTGCCTGCTAGTTTCCATGGAACTGGGAGTCTCCTGACTCCCTCCTGGCCCCGCTCCATCTTGGGCTGACAGCCGACGACTGAGCCTCCTTTGCTCAAACCTCTGACAACTACAAAGCACCGGAGGCCGGAGGAGCCAAAGTAAGCGGCTGCCCACGGGTGCGATGGGCTGGGAGGCACCTTCCCTTGCGGAGGCCGTCGCCTGTTTCCCGGCAGCTTTGCTGCCGCCTCAGAACAGACAAATCGTGAATGAGCAGGATGTTGAATGAGCTACAGTGGTCGGCAAACTCATTAGTCAACAGAGCCAAATGTCAACAGTACAACGACTGAAATTTCTTTTGAGAGCCAACTTTTTAAAACTTAAACTATATAGGTAGGTACATTGTCATTAACTTAATTAGGGCACTCCTAAGGCTTAGGAAGAGCCGCACTCAAGGGGCCAAAGAGCCACATGTGGCTCGCGAGCCGCAGTTTGCCGACCACAGAGCTAGAATGTTGCAAGAGCATAGTAAGCACCTACCTCGATATGGAAGTACACGTATCGCGAGCTTTCCCAGCGGGCAGCGGCCTGGTGCAGGGCCTGGGCAGCTACCGGCAGCCAAAGGGGGAGAAGGCACTTAGCAGTGAGCCTTGACTGGGTGAGCGTCACCTGCTGAGCGGCTGCCGGGGGCCTGGACGGGCCTCCTGCTGTCCCCCATCCTGAGGCGGGTGCAGGCACAGGGCCAGCAGAAGGGGGCCCCTTTGTGCGGGCAGCTCACCACCCAGGCCCTGGGAGCTCTGCCTCACGTAACACAAGGGCCAAGAGCACCTGGTTTTCATGGCAAAACCCCACCCCAGAGCTCCTTTAACATCTGTTAATTAAGTGCAATAAATTTTTCTAGAAAATGGCAAAAAAAAAGTTTGAAAGCATGGACCCCAACACCAAAAGGTTTTCATTGAGAGAGGAATGTTCATGGAGCATTGTATGCTTGCAACATAATCTATGATTCAAAAAAGAAATAAATTGCCCTAGAGGTGCTCAGTGGTTAGAGCACTGGCCTGTGGACTAAAGGGTGTTGGGTTTGATTCCCAGTCAAGGGCACGCACCTCGGTTGCAGGCTCCCCCCGGCCCAGGTCAGGGTGTGTGTGTCTCTCTCACATCGATGTTTCTCTCCTTCCTCCCTCCCTTCCACCATCTCTAAAAATCAATGGAAAAATATCCTTGTGCTTAAAATAATTAAAATAAAATAAACTGAGCAAATTGCCACTGACATAGTTCTGAACCAAGTGACACCTTCCTCAAGGCGGAGTTGGGTCCCAGTGGCTCTGGCCCAGGAGAGGCCGGTACAAGCTGTATGACACAGCTCTTGTTTTCAGAGCCCGAAATGCAGCTGCATCTTGCACAACACGGGGTTCCCCTTGGCAAGGGGGGCGGTGACTGCGGGCACCGGGCCGCGCAGGCGCTGACGCTGCTGGAATGGCTTGTTTACAGCTCCCACTGACTCAGCTCAGAGGCAGTGCTCCGAGGGAGCCCCGCCCGCCATGCTCCCCTGTGTCCCCCCCAAACTTCTGCATGAACCCCAGGCCATACTAGGCCCTGCGTCAGGTCCCTGCCAGACAGGCCCTGGACCCACAGTCTCACAGACAGAGCCCGACTTGCAGGGCTCAGGAGATGAAGAGCTGGTGGACCTGTCCTGCCCTAGGCCTGCCCCTGGAGCCTGCGTTGACTCCCCTGTATATCAGGGGCAAGAAGGGGACCCCTTTAGGGACTGGGGCCCTCCATCAGCACTGGCCAGGTGGCAGCTGGGACCCTCATCTCCTGCTGAGAGGACCCCAAGGGCAGGCGCTGCTGGGCCAGGGAGGTTCCTTCTCGGTCCCCTAGCCCCACCCTGTCCGCTGTCACCTCCTGGGGGCGGGAGGGCCTGCCCTGGCCTCCTGCTCCCTCTCTCCTTCAAGGTGGCTGGGGTTTTGAGTGTGGAAGGTGAGGGTGAAGAGCCAGGACAGGGAGGCCTGCAGCAGGAGCCAGGCCTGGACACCGCGGGTCAGCCGGGCGTGAGTGGACGCGGTGCCCTGGGGTGCACGAGGACACCCTCAGGCCCCCGCCCTGAGCGGGAGATGCCTGCCAGTCTCTCTCTGGTACAGACCTGCTCCCTCACCCCTACCCCATCTGTCCGTCTTCTCCTGTCTGGCATTTATGTCTGTCGATCGTTCACCTATCATCTATCACTTATGTATCCACTTCTCTTTCCTCTGTTGATCAAGTATTCAATTATCTTCCCGTATCTATCCATCTTTCACCTACCATTCAGTTACTCTATCATCTGAGTCCATTCATCCATCATCGTCCATCTTTTACAGAAAGAAGGCTAAGCATACAGTCCCCTGCCCTGTCCCACTCAGAACCCCACTCAGGTTCCACGTGCGGCTCCCTCCCCACCCGACCACTCCAGGCTCCCCCAAGGCCAGTGCAGGCCACAGGCAGGGCTCGCCCTCCACAAGGCTCCCTCGTGAGCCCTCCCCAACCCCCTTCTCTCTGGTGTCCCTCCAGGACACCCCACACACGTGTGCATCTCTTGCTTCTTAGACCCTCACTCATTCTTGGGGTCTCTCATGTCCCCTGGGAGGACAGCTGAGCTGCAGGGCGGCGCACGGGAGAGGTGGGAGGAGTGGAGTGTGAGGGTCCAGGAGGAGCCCTGAGAGTTGGCTCTGCTCCGCCCCCTCTCTGGGCCTCAGCACACATGGATGAGTGAGAATGCTGTAGACACCTACTGAAGACCTACTGTGTGCCGGACACAGTCCATGGGTGGGGGCACCCGTGGGGAGACCCGGGCCGACCAAGGTCCCATAAGTAGAAGCACAGGCATGAATGGGGCCACGTCGCCCCTCTCTGGCTGAACTCCGAGTGGGGAGACTGGTGGGCAGGATGGTTGCAGCCTGGTCTTAGGCCGGCATGGCGAGGGTGGGCGGGGCTCAGACAATGGCCAGGGGGACATGGTGGCCAGTGAGTCCAGCCCACAGCCCTAAAGGCCAAGTAAACTCAATGGCCCCCTGTGATAGTGACAAGTAGAGGGTCGAAGGCCTGGGGAGGACTGCAGGGCTGGACACTGCCCCAGGAGGTGGCGGCACGTTCCAAGGCCCAAGACGGGGACGTCTGGAGTGAGGGTCAGGGCTGGAGTGGCTGTTGAGGTTTGAGCGGGGGGGCTGTGTGTTGGGAGGTGGAGGCCATCATTGCCTGGTGGGCACCTTGGGGGCATTGGGCTGTCCCCAATGCCCCCAGCACCCATGCAGGCCAGCCTGGCTTGGTGGCCCAGCCCCCCATCTGAGGCTGCCCCCCGGCTGCGTCCGCACAGACTTCCGGTCCTGGCCGAAGAAGGAACCAAGCCATGTGCTGGCCACATCGGAGGCGCTGCCATCGCTCCCTGTGGCTGCGGGCCACAGGCCACATGGGATAAGGTGCAGGTGGCGTTTGCTTGGACACTGGGATGGCCAGGAGCGGGGCTGAGGGGCTGCAACAGGGCACATCATCGGCTGGCACAGGGCCAGGGGGCGGCGGGGGGTAGAGTCCACAGCTGGGAGCCTGAGAGGGGAAGGTAAGATGAGACCCACCCAGTGGGCAGACCCACCCCGACCCTGAGCCAGGCCCAGAGGCGTCCCCTCGCTCACCTGCCCACTGGGGGCAGTAACTGCTCTTGCTGCCCCAGAAACCTGCCTGGGCCACGTGCCCAGCAAGGCGGTCAGCAGGTAGGGCGACTCGCAGGGACAGCTTTGCTGGGCAGTGCTACCCAGTGTGCCCGAGGAGCAGCGCCCAGCTAGGTGCCCACGCGCAGATGCCCCAGCCTGCAGCCCCGAGTGGTGGAGCGAGTGGCCAGCCACCGTCCTGGCTGCCTGGCACGGGGAAGGCTCCTGCACCCACTTCCCCAAGGGCAGACCCCGCGTCCTGGAGCTGGTTCCTCTGTGCCTCGTGCCTCCGGAAACCTCCATGGAAAACACAAACTCATGATTCCTGGGTTGACAAATATGCTTCTGTTTCCCCAAAAGGGGGGGGGGGGCTGGCAGAGGGAGACAATCACAAGAGGACCCACCGGGCCAGGCCGAGGCCCACAGCCTGCTCTCCATGCGTGTGCCGTGTACAGAAGAGCTGTGCATGTGCATGTGTGTGCGTGCAGGCATGACTGCCTGTGCCTGTGCACCTGTGGGGCGGGCGGTGGAGCCCCACGCTCGGCTTCTGTGTGGTCCTGGGCTCCAAGCCTCGGATCCCCCACCTGTCAGAGGGTGGCGACAGGCCCAACAAGGGGAGGGTGGTGCCCATCAGGCCCGTGGGGAGCCGGCGTGTCTGCAGCAGAGCCGGAGCAGTGAGTCCCGGGAGCAGTGCCGGGCCCCACACGTGATGCTCACCCTCATGCATGAGCTACTCCCACAGCCCGCAGCCGAGGCAGCTCCTGGGGTCTGTGAGGCTGTGTTGGCACAGGCCAGGCATCTGCAAAAATTGAACCTCTGCCCACCCAGCCACTGCCCACTCTGCCCACTTGCTTTTCCTGGACCTCACCCACAGGGGCCTCCTTTAGAAACCATCTCCACGGGACCCCAGGCCCCCCAAGCAGGGCCGCCTGGCTCGACCCGGGTCCCAGCACTTTCGGAACCTGCTTCAGCATTTCCCGTGCTCATGCCGGATGTCTCGCCCACAGGCACTTCTGTTTATCCATCCCTTGGTGCCAAGCTGACCTTCTTGCCCCACAGGCCAGACGGCAGGGTCACCTGACCATCTTAAGGGACCTGGGTGGGTGTGGGGAGAGGAGGAGTGAAGACCACAGGGGTTCCCCGGGATCCCAGGCCCCCACCAGGAGATGGGGGAGCAGGGGTCCCGGTGGAGGAGATAAAGGGCAGAGAGGGCTCAGGCCCTGGCGGCCTTGGGGTGAATGGAGGGAGCTGGGGTTCCAGCCAGGTGAGGTGAGAGCCCTCGAGACAGGCCAGGCCCCAGAGAGCACCAGGCCCTGTTGGGGGCTCTCAGCCCACCTGGGGCAGCCCCGCTCCCCTTGCTCTCCTGACAGGAGGGCAGTCACGATGGAGAGTGGGGGGGGGGGGGGGGGGAGACGGTGAGCGCTGGGACTGCCTGGCCGGTCAGGGGCCCAGGCGGAGTGCCCGGGAAGAGCCCCAGCAGCTGCCTGCCACTCTTCCCCCAACGCGAGGAGGCTCCAGTCTAGGCTTCTGACCCCAAATGCCCCCAAAGTTGATGTGGGGACCAGCCACGCCTCCCCAACCCTGACACAGGCACCCCAGGCCGTCGCCTTACAAACTCGCCACGGGCCTGGGGCCTGAGAAGTGCCAGGAGCCCTGAGCCGGGCAGGGCAGGTAGGTCCCTCTGCTGTGAACAGCAGCCGGTGCAAGGCCTGGCCGGCCGGCGGGGGCAGTCAGGCCGGGAGCCCACTTCTGGGAGGTTGCAACTGAAGTGTCTTTTATTTTTTTCAATCCTCGCCAGAGGATACGTGTTTATTGATTTGAGAGAGAGAGAGAGAGAGAGAGAGAGAGAGAGAGAGATAACATCAGTTGCTTCCCGTACTCGCCCCAACTGGGGATTGAATCTGCAACCTGGGCATGTGCCCTGACCGAACCCAGCCGCAACCTTGGCGTATCGGGACCGCGCTCCGGCCACCGAGCCACCGGCCGGCTGCAGGGAAGCTGTGGAGTCGGCACAGTGTGCGCTTCACTCACGGCCCCGCCAGATGGGGAGCACCGGGGAGGCTCCCAACAGAGCGGAGGATGACCGCAGTGACCCGGGCCACGCCTCGGGCCTGGGCTGCGGGAGCTCTTCGACCCATTCTGTGAAAAGAAGACCCTGGGGCACTGAGACCCGAGACTCTGTCTCCACCGGGAAACCTGCCTGGAGATGCCAGGCGCCAAGGAGCCGCCAAGCTCCCGGCCTGGAGAAGGCACGTGAGGCGTGAACCAGGCCGTGGCTGCCTGCAGAGAGGCCAGCACAGGCCGCCGGGCCGGGAGGGAGCTGTGCTGGAAGCCGCACGGAGGAGCAATCATTTTATTGGTCGTTTGTGCTTAGAGAAGCGGGGCTGGGGGGAGGTGGGCATACGGCGGCCCCGGGGAAGCTGCTGGTCCAGGCTCCGGGCAGGAAGGACAGGGGCCACGAGCCCCCAGCGGTGTGTTGGCTGAGGGGGCATCTCTTTGTCCTTCTGGAAATGTCCCGAGACTAAGGCTGGCCTGGCCCCTCCCCCCGCCCTCCTCGGGCCTGCTGCGTGTCTGTCCACATGGCCGTCCTGGGGGTCCAGTTCCGCCTCTGGCCTCGCTGCCCCTGCTTCAGGGGGAGGAGCCACGGATGGAGCAGGACTCACTGGCGAGTGTCCTCCAGCCCAGTCCTGGCTCTGGCATTCGCAGGGGTGCAGCGCCCAGGCCGGGGTCCGCGGCCAAGGCAGCTCCTGGGGTCTGTGAGGCTGTGGTGGCACAGGCCGGGCATCTGCAAAGGGCAGCAGAGCGGTGAGGGCTGCCAGGCCAGGGGCCCCGGGGTGTCCTGTGACCCTGCCTTAGTGGTGTCCACGGTGTCGGGGCCACTCCGACTCCAGAAAGGCCCCATTCTGACCTGGCCAAGCCTCAGTTTCCCCTCCGGAGTCACTGAGGGCTGGAGGGCCTGGCCCCAGCACACTGACGGGGACCCGGGGAGCAGGGCCGGAAGGAGCCCCAGGCTTGGGGAGAGTCAGGGTCATGTTTGAGGACACACTGGGCCATTAATCCCTGGCCTGGTCATCATGCCATGAATAAGGGAGCATGCTGGCGTCCAGGTGCTCTGTGGGGTTCCCACGCTGCCATGGGCATCCCTGCTGGACAGGCAGCTGCCCGTCAGCAGTCCACCCTTCCTCTGGTCAGTCAGGCCGCACCGCCCTGTGGTGTGCAGCCCTGGCCGGGGTCCCGAGTGCAGGACCCTTGCGTCCCGTGTCCCGTGGCTGCCCTCAAGTCAGCAGAGTGACCTCCTGAGTCTGCCCTGGCGACACTCAGGGTGCTCCGCACAGCAGGAGGCCGCTGGCCTCCCTCGGCACCTGCCCAGCGGGGTGCCTTGCAGGCGCTTAACCTCTGAGCAAGGGGAGGGCTGCATGTGGTGGGATCGCTCCGCTGCAGGCATCGCCCACGAGGCCCGGGCAGAGGCGGACG